CCCCCCCCCAACCCCCCACACACACACACTTGAAGTTAACTGCATATTTCCCAATACTGCAACCACACAAAGAACAAGAAATCAAATATATCCCAATCCCAAACTAGTTGAGGTCGGCTATACATGAATCAAGTGTGTCCAATTAAGCTCTAATTCGGCCCAAAAGCATATAGAGAACACGGGATAAAAAATAAAGAGAAGAAGCTAAAGCAGTTCAAGGGTGCGACAAGCAGGGCAAATCAATTAACTCTAAAAATGATAAGAGCAGTCAAAATTAGGCATCAGCTTAAATTCAGCGAGATCAACAAATTGGAAAAAAACTGATTAAAAAGAGAAGACAGAAAATAAATCAACGATAATAGGATTAAAAGGAAGATAGAAATTGGGCGAGTACCAATAAAAGGGCCAGAGAGTATAATCGAGATCAAAGACGACGAGACGAGGGAGCACTTGGAACATTCCCATTATCTCCACTGCTTCATTCTTCACCTTTTCGTCTCCCATCTCTCTCTCTCTCTCTCCTGTCCACGCTTTCCGTGCCTCCAACACCCTATTTTATCCTCGCGTAGCGCTTGCTTTTGAATACTCCTACATTTTGATTTGACTTGTAAAGTTAATCTAAAGATTTTATTGTTTTTTGTATTTTGATTTTGATTATTTTAAAAAGTAATAAAATTAAATAAAACAAGTATGAGTGAATAGCTGATTTAAAATATGGAATATTATCTTCATGGAATAAATGTGAGTAACAGTGAAATAATTTGCCTGTGAGATATCCGAGTACTCATAATACTTTACGAATCTACTTTTATTTCGAGAGAAAAAAAAAAATCTAACTGGTGGATTTGAAAATGGATTTCATAGTTATAAAACTTAAAATATACTATAAATCACAAGTTAATGTTAAAAAATATTTAAAACTTACTAAAAACATCGTTAAAGGAAAAATTGCTCCACTCCTAGATATAAATAGAACAAAGAGGAGTTAATAAATTAAGAAAAAACAATTCGATAATGATCCCTTTACAGGGATACCTCAGAAGTCAGAACTATGCAAATCTGTGAAAAGCAGCTAAATGACCAGAAACCTGAAGCTCTTACACCTTTTTCACTCGGTGATGTTTCAATCTGTTTGATTTAAACTTGATTCTCACATCTCACTACCAAATTTGCCAGTGTTGCCACTAAATTTACTTGTTGTAAACTGTTTGCGTTATATACCATGTTGCACTGTAAGGTTGGCTGTGGCGGAAATTAGAAATTCAGGTAGCGAGTCAAGCACCATAAAAGAAAAAGAAAAAAACAAGAGTCTTGTACAGGCTACTGAATAATCAATGAAATATTTCGCCCTGCCCTAGCACTAAAACAATACGAGCAAGAGCTTCTTCTTAGAGTTAATTCTCTAGAACTAACAAGGGATAGACAACCATCTGGCTCACGATAATAACTGCTGCTGCTTTGCAAGTGGTGTGTATAACTGTACAGATCTGCAATACATAGAAATAACTGTACAGATCTGCAATACATAGATTGTAGAAAATTTTCAATCTGAAATAGGTAGCGAAGCACGTAATACACACGAACATCAAATTTGCTGATTTGAGCTCTCGTTTCCGAGCTTTCTCCTCAACTTCGAACAGAGGCTTTGCTGTTGCCATAATCTCAGCTCTATGTTTCTCAAACCCTCTCTTGTATCAACAGAGCTTCAAGCTCTTCTCTACGACGCTCCAAATCCTGGAATTACAATAATTATTATGATTTCAGGAATAGTGAGTTGAAGATATATTAACGAGTCAATGTCATCCACTATGGTAATAGGAGCAGATCAAGAAACAATTGCTCAATTCAAACTCTAGTGACGCAGTTAGAGTTGTGAATAGGGAATGGGGGAGAAGAATTTTCTTTTTTACGCTGCACAGCTTCAGGGTTTGGCATCCCCGAATATGGAAGGCAGGCAATAAGGGTTTGACACCATTATCTAAAAATGAGAAGCACAACCAAAAGGATTGTAGTTCTCATTTAACGTTATAGCCTTTGCAGAACAACTTTACTAAATGTAATTGAGACATAAACTGAACATGCAACAAATAAGCAAAGAAGGAAATATTACTCCCTTGGGATAGTTGGCCGGATGGGACATGGACAAGAAACTTTCAGACAGGGCAGGGGGTGGAGACATGTAATTCATTCTCGCCCTAATGCAATTCCTAAAAGCTCCACGGAAAAAAAAAACTTTATTGCTATATTTGTTCTTCTCAAAATTTGATATACAACTAACAAAATGATGATTATAAGTCCGTGGAACTGTATCCACAAAACTATAATCAATGCTGTCAACCTGCTATTGAGTATCACTTATTCATATATTCTCCAGAAACAATAGTCTAAATCTGTCCTATGACAGCGAAATGAGCCACTGGTTCCAGCTACAATACATGCAAGTTTAACTACACATGCTATATTAGATGTCTTTTTTTTATTATTATCATTATTTTTCAACTGAAAAATCTAAGGGTACACTATCACCTAGTCCCAAAGAGGATAACTATGTGCTTGAGGTGTAGGAGCAACAACCTAGAGATCCCAAGTCCGATCCCCAATACAACAATTTCACGTAGCTTGGACACCACCGCCAATTTTCTTTTAGAAAAAAGAACATTATCACCTACTGACTAAACCAGAATGTAATTAGACAAATTCCTGAAAACCTATTATCTACAATATTACCGACCAAAAGGGTTTTCCAGGAATCCCTGGATCTAAATCTCCCCTCTTGCACAAAAATGTTGCCTCTGATTCCAGCTAAAATGTAATGTGCAACACTATCACCTAGCTTGGACACCAGAGTCACTAAAAAAACATTATCACCTCTCTGCCCCTCCCCGAGCCCCACTTGTGGGATTTTACTGGGTCGTTGTTGTTGTACTGGCTGAACTAGAATTGATTAGACCGATTTCTAAATACCCGTTATCTGCAAAATCACTGACCTAAAAGGTTTTCCAGGAATCCCTCAATCCAAAAATCTTCCCTCTTGCACAACAAATATATTGCCTCTGATTCCAACAAAAATGTAATGTCTGTCTAACCTCCTCACATGCTAAGCTAGTTTTCTTTGCTGGAAAGATGAGAGTTAAAATGACAACTAGCCATCAAAGAATGAGATACACACAAATACGACAACAACAACATACCCGGAGTAATCCCACAAGTGGGGTCTGGGGAGGGTAGTGAGTACACAGGGATCCCTACCTTGTACACGTAGAGAGGCCGTTTCCGACACATATGGGAAAAAGTAAAGCAAAATATAAAGCACAACTGTTTAAGGTGAACAAATTTGAGTTGTTAAGTCCTTGAAGTCTTGTCGTTTGAGCTAGGCCTTGCTGGCTCTCCTACTAATTATTGAAAGGCACTCTTGCAAGATACAGCTTCTGAAATGAAACTTAATGGCAGATTTGTGGCCCAGTTATTGTTGCTAGTGATACCACACCAGGTGATATTTGCAAAATCCACTATAAGTATATACCATTTTGATTATTTACAAAAGCAAAACCTCTAACCAAATCCACTTTCAACCAGTTGAAAGCTCAACATATGCACATAACAAGACGTTCATGGCTAATCTGGCTCTCTATCCAATCTTTTCTCTTTTTATATTGTCTTAAAAGGAGAGCAATTTTGTTGTTCCGTTGCAATTAGTCTTAACTAAAGTAGGTGATGCAGAGAGTGAAGTTAGGGGTTTAATGGCTGAAATTATGGAAGGTTGAATGATAGATACTGTTTGGAGAAAATTGAGGATGAGCGGCAGCAGCAGAAAACCAGAGAACCAGAGAAGACAAAAACAAGAACAAATTCAGAGAGTGAGACCCGTGCAAGACATGGAGAAGTATCACATATCTATCTCTCCCTCTCATGTTCAGTTCAAGGTTTGCTTCCGAACTGACAAGAGTAACATGACATCATGGATTACCTGCAGATCCTTAATTGCTTGCTCCCTGGAGACTTCTTTCGCCTGGCGAGCACGTTTGATAAATCCAAAGCACAGCATTCCCTAAAAGTAACATAAGTCAAGAAAAAACAAAGTGAAAATCTATTGTATCATATGGTACCCCAAAAAGACTCAACAAGATGGACCCTAATGCACACATGCAGCCAGAAGCAACCCCTCATGCTTAAATACGAGATAAGTTTAGTTAAATTAAATGCCACAGAATGCAGATACTCAAACAGCAGGCTATGATCTTTACAGCACACTATATATCCTGGAGACCAAGTAAACACACTTAAGATTTACATGGTCATACAAACAAATGATGTTTAAGACAATCTAGCAGAATATTAGCTAGCATAGCTTCCGAGAGCCTAATTGACAGGTGCGCTCTGCTAGCACTCATGTAAGGAATCCTCCTGTCTAAAAGCTATGGGAGGTGGGTGGGGATCAAGAGAAGCAAGGCCACACATCATACTCTTCAGGGTTCTGTCATATCAATACAAGCTACAACTGTACGGACCCTGACAGACAAGTGATTGCCATGTAGCGACCTGATAGTTTCCTGAACTTACTGATATAATGTAAATTGCACCACAGGTAAGAAGAAAGTAGCTAGCTATGTTCCGGAGAAGAATGAGGTCATTCCTTTGCCCATATTCTTCAGGATAAGCTCTGGTCATCACCGCAACACTAGAACAAACCAGAAAGAGGAGAATATGAGTTCCACCCTAAAGATCAACTATTATGTGTTAAGTCTGATTTCAACAAGCTCAGCAGGCCAAAAGTGTTGCTTACAATATCTGTAGCATGCCCCTTCCAGCTGAAAACTCCAACACCTACACGAACTCATGGAAAGTTGACATCAGTACTATATGGGCTTTTAAATATTGTCAAAGGTCTCGGGTCAAAATGTGCAAGCGCCTAAAAAGCATAATATAATAATAAAGCCACTGCATGCTACATAGAAGGATATTATTATTAAAGTTCAGCACCTAAGAACAAATGAAACCTTTTCAGTTGTGCTATGAAAAGCAAAACTGCTGGAACATAAAAATAATTAAGCTATATCTGGACTTATTAACTTTAATGCAAGACTATAAAGGTTCATGCTGTAACTGACAATGAAAAGAGTAGGGAAAGACAAAAATGGCATAATACAAGTGACTGGATGGTTAACTGTGAGCTGAGAATGAGTTCGACAGTTTGACCTATCTAGTTTTATTGATAGGTCGTATTATCAATCTAATCTTTGGTCGTATTATCAATCTAATCTTTGTGCTCCCATATAATCCTTTTGAATGTTCGATTTCATGGTTATGTTGCATCAAGGGAAACAGATTTGTATGTTCCTGTCTGAAAGTTAATTTCCAGAAAGGAAGCTTGACGATGTAGCAAAGAAGAGACAGTCTTATAGCTTTCCATTGGCAGTTTACCGATGGGTTAACTCTGTCTCCGAATGGGAGACTGAGCTTCTGAATAACTAAGAGATAGAACCAGAACTGGATTGTGGAAAACAGAATCATTACTTATGACCAGTTCATGAACAAAATAAGAAAAAATAATCTAGATTAGTCACAAATCTTACTAACTATAGAACATGGTTAGCAGATCTATCTCAACCTTTGGAGGAAAAGAACAGACTGAAAATACTTATGTTCATTGTATAAGTTTTTCTTTTTCTCTTTTCATAAGCAGTGGTATTTCCGATTGCATTTGCCTGCGGCATCCTCATGATTGGGTGGCTCCCTACTATTACTATATGATGATTATGCAGTCGTGTTTTTGGTCACTCAGTTGTTTGTTTTATTAAAACTGCAATATTTGATGTTACATGAAGCTACATTCACAGTATCATTCCTTGAACCATTACTGCTTGATTTTGTGAATAAACAGGAAGCAAATGCAAACACATACTACTAGTAGCGGCATTAAAGTTTGAACCGCTCCAATTACAACGCATTGTTTGCAAACATATATGTCTAATTGATCATAATGCCAGAAAATATCAGAACAAAAACTAAAGACTCGACACAAACCTTCCAGAATTTGATGAAGAAACTCCATTCCGACTCCGCCACGACTACAATAATCGCAATCACCACCGCATAACAGCGGAAAATTCCATCAAATACCTAGAGCAATTTCCCAATTAAGGCACAGGAGAGGCATTAGCAGTAGCACAAATACTACGTGGCAAGGAAGGAAGGGCTTACGTCATATCCGTTCTTAAAGGATCGGACAGCAGAGTAAACATTAACAGCAATGCAGAGAATAGCGGCTAACGCAGTAACAAAGCTGAACAATCTACAAGCCACTAGGAAGGAGTCGGGTCCGGTTCGGGCTCTAGTAGGTGAGATTGAACCACCGCTGTTAACCCTCTGCATCTGCGTGCTCGCTCCTCCTTCACCATCTCTCTCCATTTTTCTTTCTTTCTGGAGACTGGAGAGTGCTTCACCTCAAGATATTTGTTAGGGGAAGGTTTTGGTGTCTTAAAGTTTTTGGTAACGTAATGTAAAAAATGTTTACACTTCATTTAAATTGACAACCTATGATAGTAAATCGTACAAATAGTATAAAATAATTTATGATGATAGTATTAAAACGGAATAATATGTTATAAATAGTACTAATATTACAAGAAAATTTATACTTTTAATATTTGTAATTAAAAATCAAATTTTGAATCTTGTAAGAACCAATTAGTAATTGGGTGAAATTGCCCAATTGAATCATGAACTTGCATCCTAATTCCTAATATACAAACAGAATACAAACTTATTGAAATATCTTCTTTTTTTTCAACGATAAGAAAAATATCGTTACAGGGTGGAACGAGAGAAAAAGAATAGAAAGGCAAACGTGGCCACAAATTTGATATAGGTAAAAGAGATTCACTACTTAGACATCTGAAAAAAAAGCGACCATAAATAATACACTCCTTGTACTAGGACAGGAACATTAATAAAAAGAAAAACAAAATGAAAAAAAGAAATCAGAACCTTGGTATGGTGTATAGGGGGGTGGGTGGGTGGCAGTGGTACTGTGTATTGTTGCAATTGGCTTTGTCCAACGTCAGAAAAATCGACATCCTTATCCCCCATCCCCCCATGTTTTTTATTCCTCACTCTGTTTTTTCATCTCTATTTCTTATTTCTTCATCTTCTTCTATAGCACTCCATTTTTGGTACTCTTCTTATTGAATATTCAGAAAAATTCATAGCTTGCCCTTGCCATGGCGTCGATTGCTCACTCGCCGACATTTGATGTAAACCCTCACAAATTCAGCTTCTCAAACCCTAAATTCACCTCCCAATTGAAGCGTTCATCTTCATCATTCAGCTCTCAGGCTTTTTCCACCTCTTATTCCGTCTCTAGGGTTTCCGGTTCAGCTTTCTGTTGCCGTTGCCGGAGCGGCACTGGCGATGGCGAGACAGCTGAGCCGTCTCCATCCGCTTCTTCTCAGAACAGCTCTTCATCTTCTTCTTGGAGATGGGACTTGGCGTTTCAGGAAGTTGTTAGGAATGCGATGAAGAAGTTTGATGATTACGTGAATTGGTCCAAAGGAGCTGAGCTTGCTGAGAGGAGTAGTGCGGAGAAGGAAGTGTGTGTTGATGGTGAAGAATGGGATTGGGAGCGGTGGAAAAAGCATTTCATTGAGGTTGAGGAGGAAGAACGGTTGGTTTCTGTTTTAAAGGTACCATCTTTATTTTAAGTAATATTTGCATGCTACTCCGTTCCTTTACGAAAGTTAACATTGATTACCTTAGGAATGAGTGTTTTACTTTGGAAATCATTTTCTAGTGTTCCATTGAATCTAAAAGTAGGTGACATATGGTAATGGTATTAGTATTGGTATAGTACCAATTTTGTATTAGTACTAGGTAACTTTTTTCCATCTGCTTACCCATTTGCCTAAGCTTTGGTGGACAGAGTTAACCAATACATGTATTGTTTGGTGGTAGCAAGTATCCGGTGGAATACAAGTTAGCTTGAACACCATTGTCCTAAAAAAAAAGTGCTATGTATAAGCAATAACAATTGAATGGGATTAAGGCTTAGCTGTTATTGTGACTTATATTAGGTCCGTTTTTGCCAGGAGTTTGGTTAGAGACATATATTTCAATATAGGGATAAGTGCGAGATTTATAGAGCCTCTATTTTTCTTAAGAAACAAATTATCTAGTATTGAAATGACATGAGTCCAAGTAAAGCAGAATGGATAATAGAGGATTCATAAACCCAACCCAACTGATTGAGGTGTAAAATCTCTGGATTGGTTGATTGATTACCCGTGGGAAATAGTTGGAAGGGTCAAGGGAAGTCTTTTGTGAATCTAAAATGGTTCCTTAGGTGAATACCATCTCAAATTAAAGGGTTCTTTTTTTTTTTATGAAGTAAGGGGATTTCATTAAATGGCTTCAAGAAGATGCATTGCAAAAAATTATAACAAAGTGGAAGTGAGTGCTCATATAAAAAACTTACTGGACAACTAAGGAGCAGTCAAAATCCTGGAAAAGTTCAACACTAGTTACATAAGCCTGATTAGACCAACTAAATAAGTTAATCAAACAAACAACCTTAAGAGAATTGTTAGGAGTTGAGAAATCGAAACATCTACGATTCCTTTCATTCTAAATGCACCAAAAGATTAAAGGGTTCTTGGTAATTTACTGTACTTTTTTGTCAGTTCTTTTAGCTTGTAATATCTTGCCATATCATCTTGTTCTTGACTTGTTTGGACGTGCAAGAGGCCTATATTAGATTACAAATATAAACATCTATGCTCAATCATAGTGTACTTTTATTGTTACTATTTTAATGAAGCTGTTATTTCACCAGTCACAATTGGCTCATGCTATTAGTAGAGAAGATTATGAAAATGCTGCTAAACTCAAGGTGGGCATTGCGGCTGCAGCTACTAAAGACATTGTTGGAAGAGTGATGTCCCGTCTAAATGTAAGTTTTGTACTGCTATTCTGATTGTATCAGTGATATCGTCTTCCTTTGTGTTACTTCTCACAATATATATGCATACATATATAATATATGTGTGTGCATTCCTTTGCCTTTTCACTTGTTTAGTTAGAGGTTATTAATTAACTTGATTTAGCCTTAAAATTGAGTTGATCACGTGACTGGATGATAGATGCTTTGGTGACTTAAATGGAAGATCATCCATTGTGTCAAGCCTCCAATGATACGAACTGTCATCTCTTTTTTTCAAACTTAACGTATCTATGTACTTTCTTTATCTTGCAGCAACAACAACGTACCCAGTATTATTCCACACCGTGGGGTCTGGAATTTATTACAGTACTACTTTTTTATGAAGTAAGGGTAAAATGGAATTTATTACTTCATCAAAAAATTGACTTTCTTTATCTTGACCTTTGAACAATGAACATCACTTGTAAATTTTAATGAAGCATGCCACTCAAGGTATAGCTGATGATAGACATTTGGATTTTAGGAATCCTCGGAGTTGAATTTCATTTAAACATAAAGAAAGGAAATAGGACTTCTTAATTTTTACTAATGACAAGAATGTAGAATTAATAATTGAAAGTTGAGTCACTCATTGTTCAGTACACAAACATTAGTCTCTGGTTTGAGTCTTCGGTTTTTATTGAAAGCTCTCCTTCTGTGCCTCCATGATCTTCTTGTTTATCTTACAATATTTTATTCCACCGCTTTGCCAAAAAAAAAAAATCCACTGTTCATTGATGCTCACTTTCTGGAGTCAAATGCAGAAAGCTGTTGAAGAAGAGCAGTACAAGGATGCAATATTTATGCGTGATTATGCTGGTACAGGATTGGTGAGTTTAGTTGCAGGATTCTGAATTTATGGTATCTTGTTCTTGCAATTGCTTCCTCAACGTTTTCTTGTGGGTATGGTCATGTTTTGTTTGCTACAAAAAATTTGTTTTTGGTCTGTTTCTTCAATGTTTTATGTGCTCTACGCTTTTGGATTATTCATTCATATAAACTTCCATCCCAACTGGATAGGACGAGGACATCTCTATATATGTTGATCTTCTCAATAAGCAGTCTCTTCAAAGTCTTTGACTATTTGCTACTCCAACTTTCCTTGAGCTATCCCACCATGGGTGTTGAGTTTGCTAGCAAAGTTTCTTGAGATCATGTCATTAATTTCGTATTTGTTGTGGTACATTGGTATTTCTAGTTTGTAACATGTTTTGTTATGTTTATGTAGGTTGGATGGTGGGCTGGAACTTCAGAAGACGTTAATGATCCATATGGCCGCATTATTCGTATAAGTGCTGAGCATGGAAGATATGTGGCGAGAAGTTACAGTCCGCGGTACATCTAGGTTTCTGCTGGGTTTTGTTTGAGGTCGACAGATTGAATTTGTACAATTCTCTTTCTTAGAAAATATAAAAGGAAGGGGTCTGCGCACCAGTATCCGCCTCATCTCTCTGCTTTTTTTCCATGGGATGAACAAAGGATATCATCTATAGAAAATGGGGAAGGAAATATCTCATAGTTCATTTTTCTTTTTCTTTCTTTTTTTTTTAGGGGGGGGGGGTAGGGGGTAAATAAGTAAGAGTTCTAT